GGTCCGTTCTGTGTTTATGTCTTTTTGTGGAATCCGTGTACCTGCTCTCATTTACTGTTTGGTGGTTGTTGAAATAGGTTTGTGAGCTTTAATCTGAGAATCTGGTGTTTCTGGCAAAACACAGTTATATTTAAAAGTCGATTCAGGATTAAATGAATCGATATCGCTTTATTCAAGCTACTCACCTCTCTCTTCCAACTGCACTTTCAACTGGACCACGGCCAATCAGAGAGGTCCCGCCCCTGACTATCTCTGATTGGTTTAGTTTAGTAATGATAGGGGCATAATGTGTGTCATGTTATTGACCACACAGAGAGTTGCAGAGATTTTTTGTTTTGTTTTTGTTGTTACCCGAACAAATGCGACCAAATATTTTTTTAGTTACACCACTGAAAAATTTGGTCGCATTTGTGACCAAATTGTTCGCACTCTAGAGCCCTGTGTTGTCTGTCATCACTGTCAGTGCTGTATGTTTAATATCACTGTGGCTTCAGTGTATCTGTTCTGTTTTACAGTTCATGAACTTTTATGTCTTCTGTTTACAGTCTTTGGTTAGAGAAGCGCTTTTAGCAGCTTATCAGAGGAGAATGTACTTCCTGAACAACAATGCCGCCTAGAGGCTGAAGACAGTAATGCATATATCATGTTGTTTTTGGTTTTTCGTTTCTGCTCATACATAACAGTAAAAGTTTAGGATGTTTTGGGGATAAAACCCAACACTTCAGTCAACCCACACTTGGACCCTGAAATGTGTGAAAATCTAAATGTTTATCAAAGTCATATTTATAATATGTGATGTATAACTGTGTGTTATAGGGTAAAAACAAAAACAAGTGTGAGTATGGAGAGAAACAACAGAGTAACAGAGACTAAAGAAATATTACACAGACATAAAAGAATCCCTTTTTTAAAACCAGTCACTCCTTTTAAAATACAAGATATTAGTAGAATATTTTTACAAAGTTGAAAACTCCTATTGTAAATAAGTGCTATATATAAAAGGAAATACATACATGCATTAATAAAAAATAAAATCTAAATTGAAGGGAAATGAATATAATTGTCACGGCTGTGGCAGCAGTCGTGTGGTGTTGTAAGGAAAGACCAAAGATGCAGATCAACGCAGAGATGCGAGTGAGTTTTAGTGCAGGAGGGGAAAACAACAAAAGCGAGGACAAAACTGAAACATAAGCTAAACTGGGGAAAAGTAATGAACAAACCTGAAATCATACGAACACGGGAAAACCTCACGGAGAATGCTGGGGTTAGAGACACAGCGATACACAGACAAACCAACAACAAGCAGAGATAGACACACTATAAATACACAAGGTAATCAGGAAAAGACCCACAGGAGGGAACATAACACGAACCTAGACAGAGACTGTTAGGAGAAAAACCTCAGGAAAGCAAAGAATCACGGGCCCAGAGTTAATTCATGTACATGGGCGATTGCCTGACCACGTTCCGTCAACTACAGAGACGTGCAGGAAAAGCGCCAGGCATCTGCTCAAACTTTATTATACACTGTCTTACCCACGTAACACTCATGGGTGGAGTACAAGTTAGGAAAAAA